ATATGTTGATGCTTGTTAAGCTTTCTCAATCTGTTCTCTAAAGAATATGCAAAACCAAGAGGTTATGATCCAAACTCTCTTGGTTTATAACTTTCCACATTTACTTTTTACATTACACTTGCCTATTTCAAAAGTACAGTCTGGACAACATAAGAAAATCAGTTATAAATAAGTTCTGAATAGCTGTTTTATGAAAGAAGCAGAAACAATAAGCTATTTCTTTCCATATTAGTTCACTCGATGTTTTTAAAGTGACTGATTCATGCATGAGCATTCCCTCGTGATAATCTTAATGCAATACAATTATGTGAAGTACATTTTTTTATTCTCAGTTATTTTTTAATTTTAATGGAGTATCACAAATGGAAAGTACAAAACATTAAGTGTATACAAAGCTTAATGATTTTCACAAATTAAATACATCAATGCAACCAGCACTAAGATAAAAAAAATTGTTCTTGCATAGCAACCACTATATTTTATTTTTCTAGCTAACTCTTCTCTTTCTAATTAACCTTTGGATTTTTGTTGTCATTTATTTTACAAACAATGCTAAATGTTAGGCATTAAATATTCATTCATTCAACAATTATCTGCCGAGGACCTACTATGTTGCCTGTACCTTTGTATACACTGGAAACAAGTAAGTGAACAAAATAAACAAAAATCCTAACCCACATGCAGCTTGTATTCTTGTAAGGCTCAATGATAATAAACTATATAAAATCAGTTAAATATATGGTATATTAAATGATGATAAGTACTAAGAAAAAGGGTAATAAGCAGGAAAGGAATTAGAAAATATCAAAGAGAAGGACTAAAAAATATTGTATCAATAAAGTGACATCTGGGTCAAGACCTGAAAGAATAATGGAGTTAGCCATGGAAATATCAAATGGAAAAACAAGCTAAGTAGAAGATTAGCAAATACAAAGGATCTGAGGTAGAAGCATGCCTAATATGTTTGAGGAACAGCAAGGATGGCCAGTGTGGGTAGAACAAAAGGGAAAGAAGTAGAAAACAAAATAAGATAAATAGTAGGGTATGGGGAGGGGAGTCAAATTATGTGGGGCTTCATGGGTCATCTGTAAGGAATTCCGCCTTTACTCTGAGTGAGATGAAAAGCCACTGAAGCATTCAGAATGGAAGAGTGTAAGACTTGACATATTTCAATATCACTTTGGTTGCTTTACTGAGATAAGACCAAAGGGAAAGACAGTGGAAGCAGAAACATCAGTCAGGAAACTAATGTAAGAACCCAGACAAGAGCTGGTGGTGGCTTGGATCAATATACTAGCAATGCAGAGAGTGGTAAGTGGTCATACTCTGTATATCCAACAGGATTTGCCAAAGAAAAAGAGGTAGGAAAGGTTAGGAAACTGAAATAAATCAACTACAGAAGTAGACAAGTAAGGTGTTCTAAAAGGCAAGTGAAGAAAATATTTCATGAAGAACAGACTGGTAAACATTCTTAATCAAATAAAGGAGGACTGAAAAGAACCTTTGGATCAGTAACCGTGGAGCTGAAAACCTGATGGGAATGTGTTCAAGACAAAATAGGAAAAGAAAAAACTGAGACATTGTATACAGATATCTTAAAAGTTTTTGCAGTAAATAGGGGGAAGAAATGAGAGAGTGGCTGGAGAAGGAAATAGAGACAGGACCTTTTTTTTTAAGATGGGAAAAGTATTACAGATTAGTGGAAATGATCTAGCAAGAAAGAAAAAATGGGAGCGATTTCAATTGCACCAACACCAGTATATAGGCATGGATCAGTGTGTCCTTTGACTTAGAGCAGGATGTCCAGCTTTTGAGCTGGAACCTGTGTCATGGGCAATAAGAGTGACTTAAACATGGGTGATGCTGAGAAAGGCAAGATTTTTGTTTAGAAGTGTGCCCAGTGCCATCATGTGAAAAAGAGAGGCAAGCACAAGAATGGGCCAAATCACCAAGGTTTATTTGTGAGAAAGACAGGTTGCGCGCCCCTGGATTTTCTTACATGGACGCCTACAAAAACAAATGTATCACCTGGGGAGGGCTTACACTGATGGAGCATTTGGAGAATCCCAAGAAACACATCTCTAGAACAAAAATGATCTCTGATGCATTAAGAAAGAGTGCAGAAAGGGAAGACTTGATAACTTATCTCAAAAAAGCTACTTATCAGTAACAGGCACTGACTTATTACAACAAATATCTCATGACCTTTTTATGCGTATCACATTTAAATTGATCTCACACCATAATTCAGATCATGAACAGCTAACAGAACATTTCTTTTGAGTAGTCCTGATTAAAATAAGATTGGCTTATAGTTAAATGAATATGATCAGCTTTTTGAACTTTGATGGTAATTTCTGTTAAGCAAGTGCTATCACTGTTTTCCCCTTCCAAAAATATGATTGGACTTGATTTGTAACATTTAACTTTTCACAAAGATGGTGAATACCATCTCAATACCAATACGAGACTGGTTTTATATTTAAATTTATATAACTGGTTATACCAATATATTTAAATACTGAGGAAATCCTTTCACTGTCTCTTAAAACAGCAAGACTCGCTTGTGGTTCAAGTTGTGTTCATTAGCCTGTTACAAGACACTGTTACAAGACAAGGGCTAATGATAAGCTGGAAGAGTCCATTTTATCTTTTTGTCCCTAATGATGCCAATTTAATTAAAATTCCCTGTAGCTAAACTGTTGCCTTTTACTTAATCAAAGACATTTCAGTGTGGTTTATATATAATATGAAAGTAAGAATATTTAACACTTCTCACATTTTATAGGTGATCTATAGGATCAGATGCTTTTAAAAATTCAGCATGACTATACATAGTAGCAAACTTTGCTTGTGAATTCTTTAAGTCAGATTAAGTTACAATTCAGGATTCTCTTGAACAAGCTATTCAAAAACAACTAGAATTACTGTATATATGTGGTAATGGTACTTTCCCAACTCACTAGAAGGATTAAAGTAGAAGAGACTAGATCAACACAAAATTGCAAATTAATGTGTGTATAGGACATAAGATAATTAAAAATGCAATCACAGATAGATAAATAAATAAATAAAAACAGGAAAAATAACACGGGGAGAGCTGATTGGAAATTAAGAGAAAACTAACATATAAGTGGGCAAACTGGCCTTAGCTAGGAGTATAGTGAGTTCACCTTTCGTAGAAGACAGAGTAGATACAGTACGTGGACACAGATGTATAGTCTTTAGAAGCTTTCTGATCAATTTTCTCAGTGAACTGAGAAGCAAAATGCTAGAAATGCTAGAGACTTAAAGAGAGAGGAGAATGTATCAGTAGTTGTCTAGAGTATGGAACAGTGAATAGACCAGGGAATTATTGTAATATTACTGGGTAGTATTAAGGACTCACTGAGACTAGGGATCATGAGTTTAGAGTGAAGCCAGTAAGTATGGTTATAGTTTTTTCCCCAAGTATGTTCAGATATATAGGTACAGGGAAGGAGCTGAGTATATATAAGGTAATGATTATCATAACTGACCACAGAATTTAAGCTGGGTAAGGAAAGTAAAGACATCAGGGAGATCAGGAACAGTGAAAAAAAATTTAAGACTTAAGATCACAACAGGCTCAAAGAACTGTTGGTGTAACAGAAATTGTGTTATGAAAGATAAAAAGTGGCAAAGAGTATAAATTGTGAAATTGAAATGATGGAGAAATTGAAGTTTGAACAAAGACAAGATCTAGAAATGAGTAGTGAGGTGGGGTAAAGGGCAAAATTCATTGAAGAGGAATTCCACATCTGATGACACCAGTGTACTAGAAAAATTGTCCACATGAACACTGAAATCACAAGCAGTACTGAAGTGAAGGCAGTGAATAACTCTAAATGAGTCTCCCGTTTCTGTACATGTGAGCAGACTTACTGGCTGCCTTTATTGTGGACTGTCTTCTCAAGCAAGCTTGTCTAGCAAACGACCTTGGAAAATAGAGTGTCTCCTTCCACAGCAAAGGATAGGTTTACCCTTAGAAAATATACTCATCCTCCACTTCAAGGGCAGACATGCTTAGTGCCCATTAAAAAAGATTCCAGTTCACTAAGCTTGTGGTTCCTCTGCTATTACTTAATCTGCTGTGTATAAAGGTACTGCATGGCCCTTTTCAAGTCACACTTTGGAAATTGTAACTTGAGGACCCAGTGTAAGCAAAGGCTGTTCTTCAGCAACTGCTTTTGCTGTTAAGAATGAAGTCCTTTGTTTCTGGCCCAGAAATCTCTTGTTTTCTGCAAGGATCCATGAAATTGTGGTAGTTAACTTATTAGTTTGCAGGCATGGTAATATCTCAGACCCTTGAAAGTTTTTCACAGAATCTCCAATTAATGAAAGGTGGGAATAAAAGATTACTGCAATGGGATGGGTAGAAGGTGGTATAGTTTGATAACCTGAGATAAAGCTTGGAGATGTTCTTAACAAGAAAGAAAAAAAAGGAGATAATGGTCTAGAAAAAGCAAGGAAAACACCTCCAGGCTCAATGGTGTAAAGAAAGCATGACAGAAATCTGCTACCACTGGAGAGGGTTGCATGTAATGTCATCAGGGAAACCAGAGCAAAAAGGTGACAGTTATATTAGGAAAAGAGGTTGAAGAATAAGAGGAATTTGCTGATGAGTGACCCTGAGCTCCAGGGACATTATGAAACATCATCAGAAGACAGAGAGGAGTGGGTTTTGAGGTCAAATTTGAATATACCCAGTAAGAGATCCATTAAGTCTTGGGCTTCTTGTGGTGACTTATGTGAACAAGAATAAAGGAGCATGATGAAATTAGCTTTGATTAGTCTTCATCAGAGTAAGCTAGTCTACGTGTGTTTTCATCCCTCCTCCCTCTTTACCCACCCAATATCTACTATGGAACACTTCATTTCTTACAAAATAAAAAATCATTTTAGAAAATTTACAACATGCAAGTTTTTAAAAATATAAATGCCAAAATTGTTATTTAAGATAGAGGCAAATGTTAACTTACTTGAATTAGATCTAAAATGCCAAGTTCACTTTCTGAAGAATCCACACAGAAGACAAAATATAATGTTGCATAATGTCTATAAATCAGTTTGTTGTCAGATCCTCCAATTAATCTAAATGACAAAACAAACAATTGGAACATTATAAGAACAAAATAAAAAACATTTTCATTAGCTAAAGCAAACTGATAATTGGCTTAAAACCTTTTTATAAAATGAAAGGTAATATTTAATGGCATTGCATTCAAGCAAACTTGTATCAGAGACTAAGTAAATTAAGATGGTTGTTTTCTTCAAAAATGTTAAGTAAAAGATGCTGGTGCTTAATTTTAATTCATTCTTTTATTAAACTATTGACTGAGTACCTACTATGTGTCAGGCACTGATAGTAAATAAGGAGCAATAAACAAATAAGGAAAAATTATCAGAGTGGAAAGCACTAGAAAGATAATCAAAATGGGACAATACCACATTGGTAGATTTGTTACTTCAGATTAGATGTTAAGAGTGACATTTAGGCCAAGATCTAATGATAATGAGCCAGCCGGGACAAAATTTACAGAAGAGCATTTCAGGCAGAGGTAACAACTATAACAGAAAGGCCATTTCATCAGGAATAAAACATGGATGCTAAGGGAAGAAAAAGACAGCCTGCACACAAAGAAAGATTAGTAAGCAATGTAGTCAGGCTTTACTTCATCTAAAATCAGCAATTTAGCAGTTGTCTTAAACTTTTGCTTGTCTCTGTTTTAAAAGAAGATGATCAAACTTATAAAAAATTTTAAATGGCTATTAACATTATTAAAAGAAAATAAAGATGTTAATATGGCAAAAATGTATTTTGCCTTTAAGCTATAATTTCATCTTTAAACTATAGTACAATAATGACAAATACTGATACAAATTCTTGTATGGAATGTAATACACAATACAAAACCACAGAATTTTGGAAATCCTCTTAGTTCAAATACATCATTTTACATAGGTTAAAAACTGAGGTATTAATACAAAAATTTAAGTTACCTGTTCAGGAAAACCAACATGTTAGTGACAAAACTAGGACAAAACCAGATGTGCAGCCTCATCTCTGGTGCAATATTTGCCTTCCACTTCTTATAAGATTGGAAAAGAATGATCACAAAGTCAACCCATAATTTCTAGTTTAAACAGTGCCCCAGTTAGATCAATCGAGTTCTTGCACATCTATCACATGCAGTGCACTATGCTGGCTGGTAAGTTTCTTACGAGATAAAAGATTAAGAGGCTGATAGGAAGGGAAGTAATAGTAATGGCAAAGACAACTAAACTATAAATGTTTAAGAGAAATAAGAAAAATACAATTAAAATATAAAAACAGAAAGCAGGTACACCTGTCTCAACTATAAATTGGAAGCCCTGATTAATGGAAAAATTAACAAACATTTTATCAATTTAAGTGCAGCATGATATAACCTTTTGTGAAGTGAAAGTAAACTTTCTACCTGATAAAAAGTAATTTATGTTCAGTAAAAATAACTTTGCTACTTTCTATTTTTCACACTATGCATCGTACACCTTAAAATACAAAAGTGTAGTTTCTCTAACCTGTGATTATTCATGAGATTCAGTTATAGTTTAGTTTTTGAATTATCATTGAGAAAATATCTTGCTAAGAAAATTAATTATATAAATGTGGGAACATTTATAAAACAGTGCAAATTATTTTCGTGAAACCCATTAATTTAAAAGTATTTATAATAGTTGGCAAGTTAATTATAAGTAGTTTTATTTTTGAAATTATTTTCATTGAAACATATTTGACACATAATACTATATGAATTGTAGGTAATTATTAATCATTTAAAATAGAAAATTAGCTCACTTCTAACCTATCTATATACAACATGTCTATACATATACATGTACACACACACAAGACACATATTTGAAAAGCAGACTTCGGTCTTGTTTATAATGACAAAATAAAGAATGTAATCTAACATTTAACAAACAGATCTATTCACTCTACACGCAAGGAATAACATGTAGTCATTATAAAGAATAAGTTGCTCTAGATATGTTTATATGCAAAGCTTTTCAAAACACTAAGTGAAAACAAACAACATGCAAACTAGCATACAGAGTTTGATACCATAGGTAAAATATAATGTTACCTATGTTAAGACTGTGATCTTAAAATATAATTTTAAGATCATACTTTTATATGCCAGTCAAAGCAAAATTAATTTTCTAGAAGGATACATAAGAAACTGGGAAGAAGGTCTAAAGTTGGAAGACAGAGACTCTTGATTTACATTTTATATTTCCTTGTAATGTTTGAATTTTTTCCACACGAACATATTACCTTTGCATGAAATACTGTTATAAAATTCTTTTAAAAACTGCTTATCTTTAAAAATTTCTTTAAATTAGAGACTTCTGCCAAGATGGAGGCGTAGGTGGAAGCACTGCACCTTCTCACACAACCAAGTTTAAAAACAACAAAGTTTTAGCAACAAAACGCAGCCAAACCACAGAAAATTGAACGACACAGAAGTCTGACAACAACGAAACCTTCAGCCAAACCGGTAAGAGGGGTAGAGCCAGGAGCAGAGAGGGTCAGGCGGGAAGGATCCACCGGACCTACCAGGGCACATGACCGGGGTGTGCCAGCAGCTGTGGGCGGATCCCAGGTGTGGAGAGGCGGGCGGACCCACCGAGGGCCCAAGGCCATGGACTTACTGAGGGCTGACCACAGTCGCACATTCAAGCGCAGATAAACCAGTGAAGGAGTGAAGCAGTGACAGACTGTGCAGGCCCCAGTGGCGGAAAGTGGCAGAGGGGACTGCCATTGTCCCTCTCTGAGCCCGCCCCCACATACAACGTCACAACCCAGCAACCTGGGTGGCCTTTCTCTGACCCGCCCCCACATATAGTGTCACAAACCAGCGACCTGGGTGGCCCCGCCCTGGTGAACACCTCCTCGTTTGTAACAGGCACGAACAGATCAAAACATGGCTCAAGAACAACTCAGAGCCCCAGAGCCGATAAATCTAAGCAATGAAGAAATAGCCAAACTTTCAGATGCACAGTTCAAAACACTGGTGATCAGGATGCTCATAGAACTGGTTGAATTTAGTCACAAATTAGAGGAACAAATGAAGGCTAAACTAAGTGAAATGAAGGGAAATGCACAGGAAACCGATAGTAATGGAAAGGAAACTGGAACTCAGTTTCCTAAATCAAGGGAGTGGACCAGAAGGAAGAAAAAAATGATCAAACAGAAAAGGATGAAGAAAGAAGAATTCAGAAAAATGAGGAGAGACTTAGGAACCTCCAGGACATCTTTAAACGCTCCAACATTCGAATTATAGGGGTACCAGAAGGGGAAGAAAAACAGCCACGAGTGGAACACTTATTTGAACAAATAATAAAGGAGAATTTCACCCAATCTGGCAAAGGAAATAGACTTCCAGGAAATCCAGGAAGCTCAGAGAGACCCAAAGAAGTTGGACCCAAGAAGGAACACACCAAGGTACATAATTACATTAGCCAAGATTAAAATGAAGGAGAGAATCCTAGAAGCAGCAAGAGATAAGGGGACAGTTACCTACAAAGGAGTTCCCATCAGACTGTCAGCTGATTTCTCAAAAGAGATCTTACAGGCAAGAAGGGGCTGGAAAGAAGTATTCCAAGTCATGAAATCTAAATACCTATATCCAAGATTGATCTATCCAGCAAAGCTTTCATTTAGAATGGAAGGGAAGATAAAGTGCTTCTCAGATAAGATCAAATTCAAGGAGTTCATCATCACCAAGCCCTTATTATATGAAATATTAAAGGGACTTACCTAAGAAAAAGAAGATAAAAAAGATGAACAGTGAAAGGACAGCAAACTCACAGTTATTAACAACCACACCTAAAACAAAAACAAACTAAGAGGACAGCTAGATCAGGAGCAGAACCATAGAAATGAAGATCACATGGAGGGTTAGCAACAGGGGAGTGGGAGAAGGAGAAGGGGGGAGAAGGTACAGAAAATAAGTAGCACAGATGGTAGGTAGAAAATAGATAGGGGAGAGGGCAAGAATAGTATGGGAAATACAGAATCTAAAGAACTTGAGACACGTGGTCATAAACTAAAGGGGAGGACTGGGGGAGGGGTGCGCAGGGTGGAGGGGAATGAAAGGGGGAAATAGAACTGTAATGGCATAATCAATAAAATATATTTAAAAAATTTCTTTAAATTAGATTTATAGCTAATATACGTATCACTTAATTTACCTAATGCAATTAATTAAAATTAGGAAAATTTTATCATAAACAGATTTAACAGTACATACTTTAATCATAGTCAAAGATTAGAATTGTGTATTAAATGCTTTACTTACAATCCTCCTTCTAGGAAATTACAAACGTTTTCATCTCTCTTAGATACCAAGTGGAATGTCTCCCTGATGATTTGCTGTTGCGTATCTTCACTCTGAGAAAGAACAATTCACATATGTTAGGATCAAGTTTACAGGTTTAACAGCATTTTAAACTTTTAAAACAGGCTTCTGGTCAAGAAGGTAGAGTAGGTAAATGCTGTGCTCATGTCCTCCTATGACCATAACAAAATTACAACTAAACTACAGAACAACCCTCACTGAGAACCTCCTGAAGACGAGGTGAACAGAAGTCCTATAACTAAGAATATACCAAAGAAGCCAGTTGGAGGCAGGTAGGGGGGGTGAAAATCAGAAGGTATTGTGGCTGAGTGAGATGGAGGGCTTCTGGAGTCCTATGCATTCCTTTTAAAGGGCCTGTAGTGCAAAGACTTACTTGCTGACAGATTTACTCACTCTGGGGAGGCAGCTCAAAGGGTGCTAAAGAGAAACAGAATAGTCTGGCTTCTGGGTAAGGGCTGGAGGGGCAGCTTTCTACCAGACAAAAGTACTAGCAGAGGCCATTGTTCCTTTGTTGATCCCTTTCCCAACCCATCCAGCACTCACAGGTGGGTGCCATACCTGGACCTCCAACCAACCTTGCTAACACAGTTTGGCTAATTATGATGATTCCCTGAGATCCCACACCACCCAACTTGCAGGCCCACCCAAGCTGCTTCCAGTGGCCTTTCTATAAAAATGGCCTGTCTTGGCTCATGCTTCAGACTTTCCCAAAATCTCTTGAAGGTTCGAAAACCAAAAATAAACAGTGTCTGGCCTCATACTGCCCCATATACTAAGGAGTCCCACGCCTGGCACTGGCAGTGGCCAGCCTCAATTCTCCTTTGCCTCTCCCAGGCACCTCTGAGCCCAGCCTAAGTGGCAACCATTTGAAGATCAACTCTGTAGCCCAATGTTCATACTCAGTAGCCCAGAACAGGGCCCAGGCAGCAGCTGACTTTGGCTTGCACTAAAGTCCCTCCCAAACACTTCCACAAATGACACACTCTTAAGGGCAGACTCAGCAGGCACCAGTCCTGCTCTGTAGGGTTGACCCCTGCACAAACATCTCCTCAGCTATAATCATAGCCAGTTCTCATGACCAATCAGACTGAGGGTCAATACGTCCAAATGACATGCCAACAACAATTAAGGCTCAACTACAACAGGAGGGCATACACAACACACAAGGGACACTCCTAGAGCATCCAGATTAAGTTACCATGGAGATCGCAGCACTGGATCCCCCACAACATCTATTCCAAAGGCCACTCTACCAAGACCAGGAGACACAGCAACTCTTCCTAATATATAGAAACAAATGCAGAGAGGCAGCCAAAATGAGGAGACAGAAATATGTTCCAAATGAAAGAAAGATCATGCTCCAGAAAGAAAGCTAAACAATATGGAGAAAAGCAATCTACCAGATACAGTGTTCTAATCTCTAGTTATAAGGATGCTCAATTATCTATCTCAGTGAGAACATCAACAAAGAGAAAGGAAACATAAAAAGAACCAGTCAGAAATGACCAATACAATAACTGAAATGGGCCCTGCCTGGTGTAGCTCAGTGGATTGGGCACAGGCCTGTGAAGCAAAGGGCCGCTGGTTCGGTTCCCAGTCAGGGCACATGCCTGGGTTGCAGGTCGAGTCCCCAGTAGGGAACACATGAGAGGCAACCACACATTGATGTTTCTCTCCCACTCCTTCTTCTTCCCTTCCCCTCTCTGTAAAAATAAATAAGTAAAATATCTTTAAAAAATAACTGAAATGAAGAATACATCAGAAGTAATCCAAAGCAGATTAGATGAAACATATGATTGAATCAGCAATTTGGAAGATAAGGTAGCAGAAAATGCCCAATCAAAACAGCAAAAAGAAAAAAGTACTCAGAAAAATGAGTATCATTTCAGGGGCCTCTGGGCCAACTTTAAGCATAACATGATTCACATCATAGGAGTAACAGAAGGAAAAGAAGGGAACAAGGGAATAAAAACCCATTTGAAGAACTCAAAACATCTCTAACCTGGCAAAGGAATAAACATATAAGCCCAGCAAGTTCAGAGTCCTAAGTAAGATGAACTTGAAGGTCCACAACAAGACACGTCATAATTAAAAAGCCCAAGGCTATAGACAAAGAAAGACTCTAAACAGCAGCAAAAGAGACCCAAGATGGTAGAGCAGTAAGGGGAAGCTATAATAACCTCCTAGGACCAAACTGGAATTACAATTAAAGAAAAATCATTTTGAACAACCAACTGAACAGTAGCTGGAGAGAAGCCTCATAATCAGTGACATACAAAGAAACCGCTTCACCACAACAAGACTGGTAGGCAGTGCAGAGGCGTGAGAGGGCTGAGCTCCCATAGATTGCGACTGAAGTCAGAGGTACATTAAGTGGTAAAGGGGATTCCCCCTCAGAAGTGAGATCTAAATCCCAAGTTGGGCTCCCTGGTCTAAAGCACCAGAACCAGGAAAGGAACCCAAATAACACCCAGCTGTAAAAGCAGCAAGGTTTCTGTCTGCCAGAGAGAGACTCAGGGAGCCTCTTAAAGGGCCAATGCACAAAATTTCACTTGCAGCCACTTAACCCTGGGCTGTAATAAAGGAAAGGCAGAGTGGCCTAGAGACTCATGAGAAGAGTCTGGGGCTGGTGGCTCTGGGGAGAGAGCTGAGAAATCAACTACCAGGATCCCTACACTGAGTCATTCCACATACTGCAGGAGCCATCTTTCTTGGGCACAGCAATTCCTCCATGTGGCATCAGCCTGAGGAGGAACAACAGCCCCACCCTGTGGAGTTTAAGCCAGGCTGCTGAGTATAGATGGAGGCTATATCAGTGATTAAACCTAACAGTGAAGGCAGATCTCTAGGAGCTCTGAGACTTTAGCTGACCCTCCCTGGGGAACTGCTGGTAAAAGCTGGGCTTATTGCACAGCCTGGCTCTTTCTAGATACAACCAGACCTAGCAGAGGGAGCCACAACCTGTGAATCACTGATAGCTCCTAATAGGTTGCCCAGGGCCAGTCATGGGCAGCATCTCACATAAGCCTGTCCTAGAGTCTTTGCAGAACTACCTAATACATAGAAACAAATACAAAGAAGCAGCCAAAATGAAAATCCAAAGAAACAGGTCCCAACATAAAAACAAGAGAATTCTCCAGAAGAACTAAATGAAATGAAGTCAAGTAATTTTCTAGATATAGAGTTTAGAGTAATGATTTCAAGGATACTGAAAAGCATAAAAAAAAGACTACATAACCATAAAAGAGCCTGTCAGAAATACAGGATGCAATACCTAAAATAAATAATGCACTGGAAGGAATAAACAGTAGGTTAGATGAAGCAGAGAATTGAATCAGTGATTCAGAAGACAAGGTGGAAAAAAAACACCCAAGCAGAGCAGCAAAAAGAAAAAAGAATTTAAAAAACTGAGGAGAGCTTAAGAAACCTTTGGGACACACAACAACATCTGAATCATGGGAATATCAGGAGAAGAGAGTGAGCAAGGGATCAAGAGCCTATTTGAAGAAACAATGACTGAAAACGTCCCTAATCTGGGAAAGAAAATCACACAAGTCTTATTTGTACAGACAGTCCCAAACAAGATGGACTCAAAGAGGCCTACAAGGCCTACAACAAGACATATCATAATTAAAATGACAAAACCTAAAAACAAGGAGAGAATCCTAAAAGCCAGAAGAGAAAAAGCAATTAGTTACCCACAAGGGAGCTCACATAAAACTGTTATCTAATTTCTCAACAGAAACATTTCAGGCCAGAAGGGATTAGCATGAAATATTCAAGGTGAAGAAAAAGCGAGGACCTACAACCAAGGCTACTTTACCCAGTAAGGCTATCATTTAAATTGAAGGAGAAATAAAGAGCTTCCCAGACAAGAAAAAGCTGAAGGAATTCATCAATACCAAACCAGTATTACAAGAAAAGTTGGGGGGCTTCCTTAAGAAAGGAAAAATTAAAATGATGAATAATGAAATGGCAACAACTACATATCTATCAACTATTACTTTAAATGTCAATAGATTAAATGCCCCAATCAAAAGACAAGTAGTGGCTGAATGAATAAGAAACTAAGACCTTTACAGATGCTGCTTACAAGGGATTCACATCAGATGGATAGACACGCACAGACTGAAAGTCAGGGGAAGGAAAACAATATTTCCTAAAAATGGAAATTAAAGAAAAAGCTGGGGGGAGGCAATACTTATACCAGATAAAACAGACTTTAAAACAAAGGCTATAACATGAGACAAAGAAAGACCCAGCAATTTCACTTCTGGGTATTTATCTGAAGAAACCCAAAACATTCATTCAAATAGACATATAAATCCATATGTTCACTGCAGCATTATTTACAATAGCCAATATACGGAAGCAGCTTAAGTGTTCATCAACAGATAAATGGATAAAGAAGAAGTGGTATATACATACAATGGAATATTACTTGGCCATAGAAAGAATTAAAGTTTGCCACCTGCAACAACATGATTGGACCCAGAGGGTATTATGTTAAGTAAAATAAGTAGGCACAGAAAGACAAATACTATATTATTTCACTGATGTGTGAAATTAAAAAAAAAACAAAATAAATGAACAAACAAAGCAAATAAATTCATAGGTAGAAAATTTTTATGGCTGCCAGGTAGCAAGGAAGTTAGGGGAATAGGTGAAAAAGGGGAAGGGATTCAGAAGTACAAATTCATAGTACAAAAGAGTCATGGGGATGTGAAGTATTGCATAGGGAATACAGTCCATAATACTGTAATAACTATGTATGACACCATATGGGTACTAGATTTATCGAGTGACCACTTCATAAATTATATAAATATCTAGTCACTATGTTGTACACCTGAAACTAATATAATATTGTATGCCAACTCTGATTGAAAAATAAAAAATTATTTTAAAAGAATTTTTAAAATAAAATTAGTGAATATCTGCCTAGAAAATTCATCTGAGAGCTCCTTGGAGAGCTAACATAGCATATCTTACACAAACAAAGCCCAACATTTTCTTATGAAAAACAAAAATA